CAGTGATTACTCCAACTGTTTTATATTCCAGAAATAATCAGTTCTGCTTGCATTGGGGCTAGTGCCTAGGGACACAATGACTGACATCAACTGGACTATCACATAGGACCAAAATGGAGGGACAGATGCCACAGACTCTACTGGGTTCATTTCTTCTTGGAAGCTAGAAAGAAAGTCATAATCTCAGCAAAACAAAAAACCTCCACAGCTCAATGGCACTCTGGTGGGTTCCTGTGAAAGAACACAAGCAGAGCCTATCAACACAGCCCTGCCTTACTGCTATAGAGGCCCTCTGACTAGAAAACCTTTCTCTCCTACCATTCCAGCTAACAGTGTTGCTTTTAATGCCACACTTGCACTGACACTTCACCAGAATTATAAATTTGCTGGACTTAGAAATCCCACCTTACCTAAATCTCTCTAAATTATCTCAAGTCCCTAATCAAGCCAGCCTAAAATTCAGTTAGATGAGGCTAAAATGCTCCCAAACAGGAAAGAATAAAATCTCACAATCCAGCAACCAAAGGTGAAAGTAAAGCAAGCAAGACAAAAGAGAACTATAATGAAGGAGGAGAGAGTGGGCAGAGAGAGGCAGCGTGAAGCAGTGGCAGGGCCTCCTGACTTGTTTCCAAAGCTGTCACAGGACCTGTTGCTCACAGAGCCAACTCCAACATCCTGCAGAGGCATTTCCTACCAGGCTCCACAGCCAAACCTCCTCAGCACACTGAGAAAGAACCCACCGCTGGGCTGCTGACGTGCTGCCCTCCTCACACCCTCTCGGGAGACATTACATCCACCCACTTGTCCAGCTATTTTACACAAGGAGCAATTATATTGCGCTTCAAAGGAAAAGTCCTTGTTGATTTTAGAAAGTATGTAATACGAGACAACCACAGAGTGGGTGGTGTACCTGGCTTAAAAAAGTGATAGGGTATGACAGGTGTTCTTTAATGAGTATCTCTGAGCTATCAGTCTCTGGCTATAGGCTCATTTAATCTTTATAACAGAGGTAGCTAATGTCTCCCCCATTTCACAGGTGAGAAAAAAAAAAGTGATACTGTAGAGAACACGGAAGCAAGACAGACATAGCCTGGGAATTTGAAAAACTTTTACACAATCAGCTAGAGAGAGACATGGCAAACTCAGCAAGAGGAAGGTATGGCGATGGTACCAGCCGTGCAAGGGGTGAATGAAAAGTGATTACTAAGGTCTTATGCCTGGATCCTCTCTCAAACAAATGGAATCTGGGGGCTCCAGTCCTCTGATAAAGCAGTCTATCAGGGAAAGAATGGACGGACATCTGGGCTACCATTTTCCAAACAAACTGACAACACCAAGCCCTGTTTAGACAGTCCCTCTCCATTAATCTGAGAGTAAAAAGCTTTGCTTATCTTCCAACAACTTCAACAGAAAATTAGCCTTCTCACATATCTGTAGATCATCAAAATTGCTAAATCTGTACCAATCAAATTATTGTACTGATAATCTTCAGGTTGTTTCTCTCTGGAGCTGAGTCTCCACTGACAGACATGCATTTGGGATAAGAGTGCTGATAGTGCTGATAATGTCTTCAAACAGATTGTTTCCTTCCAGACATCTGAGACCCATCTAGGCTACCCTAAGGAATGTCAGCAAATTAAATCAAGAAGTAAACAATGGGCAAATCCATATGACAAACACAGATTGGGCGAAGGAGATATATCTGTGTGCTCCATGCTCCTGCCCTGCTTTCTGGACAAGACCCTGCATTTTGGATGCCCATATATCTCAGTCTGCCCAGGACAGGGGCCCTTTTACTTTCAAAAGATTTTGATCTAGATGATAAATACATGTTACTTTACCCAGTAGCACATTTAAACCAGCCAAAGAGGTTAATTAAGCTATTCTTTACTAACCCCGTGCCTATCAGAGTTCTTTTTATTTTATCTTTCTATTTGTCCTCATAATTTTTTTCTCCTGAATGACAGACATGATTCTTTCTTGTTCAACCTGTTCCTGAAGACCACCTGCTTCAGGAAGCCTTCGTGATACATGCCAACCTCCAGAGTTCTCGCCTTTCTTTGAAGTTCCAGCACATCACCTGGTATCTAAGTTGCTTTGTATGTATAACTAGAAAAGTTATACTATGTAAGGGCACATTATTTTTTTTATACCTTTGAATAATCTAGCTAGTTAGTAAATATTTTCTGATTTCCAAGCTTGCCTAATCAGCTGGCTTTAGGACACAGCAGGAAGCTGCCAGATGCCTCTCACTGCTGACTCCTTCCCACACGGCTCCTGTGTTTTCCTTTAAAGCACTTAACACGGGTTGGAATCATCTATTGATTTGCAAGGTCCAAGTTGCCCAACATATTGTAAGGTCCAAGAGGAAGGGGAGTTTGTGTACGCTGTTCATCACTGTACACCCACAATCCATCACAGCACTGGGTAGTGATTAATACATATCTGCTGATTGGATGGATGTCAGCTGGATGGATAGATGGATGGACAGGTAATGGCAGACAGGAAAAATCTCAGAGTAAATATAAAGAAAATAGATTTAAATTTTAGGGAGCCCCTAGTGGCGCAGGTGGTTGAGTGTTGCTCTGTTAAGCTGTCCACAGCCTCTGCAGTGCCAGTTCGATCCCAGCTGACCAGGGAGAAACTCACATGGCGTGGCAGACCTCTTCTGTCTTGCCCGCTGCTCCCCTCAGCAGTGTATTTCATCAGTTTGCCTGTTCTGTTCCCCGCTCTGTCTCTGGTGAATCTTTTCACCCTCCCACACATCTGGCCTGTACCCTGGTTCTTGTATGAATAAAAAAATCTTTTAAATAAATAAATAAATAAATAAATTTTAGGGAGCCATATATTTAAGAAAAGAACGCTAAAAAGCTCATTTGGCAATAAAGCACATGCTTATTAAGACCTTCTCCCTTCCTCAGAAAGACTCGGAGAGTAAGCATTTTGGCCCCTTCTGGTCTGAAGCCTAAGGCATGAGTGATCAGCAAGTGCAGGTGGTGTCACTATTTCTCCTGGTTAGATCATGTGCTGAGGCACAAGAGCCACTGTTGCAAGAAGCCAGAGGAAAGGCTTGAAGGCACTCCAGGATTACGCTCCCAAGAGCACAGCCATGCACCCCTCCGCGGGCCGGCTCCCAGACACAGCCTCTGACAGTGCAGTTGAACTTAATCGGCCCAAAGTCAGCAACGTGAGATGTCTCAGGGCTGACAGTTATAAATTGCTGTGGCAAACTGGGCTGAGGGCTCCTGCTGCTTTTGCAGTTATATCAATATATACTTGGAAATGCTGAGGAAGAGAAATGTAAAGGAAATCAGCATAATTTTGGAACCCAGGGCAGCCTAGTCATTAACTGAAAGGCCTGACATTTATATAATGCTTTAGGATTTAAAAGCACTTTCTTGTTTCTGCTCTGAATGAATCCTTATGACATGCCCATAACGTAAATAAAATATTATTATCTCTGTTTTACTGATGTGGAAATTCGGGAAGCAGATAGAACCACCAGCAAGTGGCCAGGACTAAATATATGCGCAGCCTTCTGACCCCCATGCTCTTTTCTCTGCACTTGGCACCCTCAGGTGAACTGTACCTTTTCGGTTCTTAAACCAATTGGTTTCTTTCTTTCTTAGCATAAAAATTATGCCCTGAATACTACTTATGGGACATGGACAAAATCTCTGAAGGCACTCCCAAATAACTGCCCCCATCTCTCCATCGAGGTGCACTCTGTGGGTGAATGGGACATGAAGAAGCAGCAGGCACCAAGAGAAGAAACAGGACACATGAGGTGGTAACGTCAGGGTCTGGTCTCTATAGCCAATTCTGCTTGCCTTGCAAAAGCCTCTGCTCAGGGGGCATCTCAGCTAAAGAAAGCAATCCACAGGAAAGACTAGCACTGCATTTCAATTGCTGTAATGGAAAATAAACACAGGCCACTGAAGAAAGTCGTGGGTTTTTAGCACCTAAAATTTGGCCTGACCTTTTTCTGTTTGACTCATCTTGTCTCCTGAGTCTACCCCCAATTTGCAGTCAAGATCACTCCCTCATTATCTCTCACTTAGTCGAGCAGAAGAGCCTCCTAACTTGTTTCCATGCTTCCCTTCAATCCACTTCCCACACTGTCACCAATGCAATCTTCAGATGTGGTCTTGTCTTGCAATCTTCCTTGGTGCCTCCCACCCTAGTCTTTCTGGAGTTAACCCCTCCCTCCTATACTCCAATAGCTCTTCCTCTGGACTGCATCTCCTCAGGTAAGCAACCTCACCAAGGGCAGCAGTCTTTTCTGCCCACTGTCTAAAATGTTAGCTAGTACTCAATATCAAATTGAGCCAGGTGTGCTTTATTTCTACCCTTAAATTCTAGCTTGTTTGGGAAGCAGGACGTTGAGAAGGCATCAGCACCTAGTATCTCTAGGAAAGGCATTGGCATGGCACAGTCTCCCAACCTGTCACCTGCTCCCAGCTGGCTCAGAAAGTGCTGAAGAGAGAGGCCGGCATCATCCCTGACCAAGTGCTGAGCCTGAAAATAGGGAATATGAACTTCTAGCCTAGGGGTTAGGTCTCAGTGCTATCACCACCATGGCCCACCGAGATGGCCTGGGTTTGATCCTGGCCAGGGAACACCCACATATGGTGCAGCAGACCTCTCCTGTCTCACCCGCTGCTCCCCTCAGCAGTATATTTCAGTAGATCCACCTGTTCTGCTCCCCACTCTGTCTCTGGTGATCCTCTCACCCCCTGCACCTCTGGCCTATGCCCCAGTTGTTCCATGCAAAAATAAATTAAAAAAAAAAACTTAAAAAAAAGACCAAAGTTTAAAAAAGAGAGATTGTTTAGATTTTTAAGGAAACTGAACAAGAGATAGAAGATGTGTTTAAACCCAAATAAAAAGAAAAAGATGGCTATTAGAACCAGCCCAGGACTAGAAGTTACTCAATCCTCAATTCCAATTTTTGCCCTTACTATAATCCTGGTACATCCCTCAGGGTTAAAGCAACATACCTCGAAGCATCAAGGAATGGTCTGTAGGCCAAGTTGATCCATTCTTCTTTATTGGATGAATATCTTGGCTCTCGGGGTGTTTCTCTTATGGTGTCCAAATCCACTAAGTAATGGCATTTGCTGATGTCAATCTGTAATGGAGAAAGGCCAACTGTTAATCAGTAATCACAAAGGTCCTTTCACAGTAGGTAAGAAACATTGACTAAAACCCTAAGAATCCCCAAAGTGTTTCAGAAAAACAAACATCCATGTCCTCAGACCATGTTACTTGTGCTCTTTCCATGCACCTAACATGAGTATTGGGAAGTGACTTAGGTCCCTGAATTGTGGGGAAGACATGCATTCACCTAGCCAGCTAGGTATGTAAGCTTTGGGAATTCTGATACTAGTTTGGGTTATAAATCCCTGCAGTTCCATAGACATTTCTGAAGCTACCACAAGTTTATAACCTGCCTCTCATAAATCTGCCTTCTTCTGCTCACTATTGTTCCCCTCCACTCTATCATGTCTTATTTCAAAGAGACAGATCATGACAAAAAAACAAATGCAACTGAGGAACACTGACTCTGCTGACAGAATCACGTGAGGTTGCAACACACCCTGCAAATGGTACAGAAATGCCATGGATAGCATCTCCTTCAAAACTGCAGCAGAACTATCAGAGACATGGGAACTGGGCCCATAGCAAAGACCAGTAAGCAGACATCAAAATGCAGGACTAAAGCTTATGAAAATAATATAGTAACTATTAGCAAAACTACCATCATCCAGTTGCTTATATCTGAATCATAAGAAAGCACTCCTGGGTGCCCACAGGAAAATATTAATCCATTTCATCTCAAGGCACGTTGGTACTGTGCTTCTCCCAAGTTGATTAATTCAAAGGAACATGCTGCAGAAACTGCAGGGTACTTCTTTGGTGAAACAGTTCATTTCAAACTATAATCACATTCTCTTCAGCTCTCCTTCTTCAGAATATTTAATTTAATTGAACAGTCACAGGGAAATTTTTTAAGCTTTTTGATTTTTTGTTTTAACTTTTAAAAAATAAGACAATACACAAGTTTCCATGAGGCTAAATAAAAACTCAAAGATAGAGCCCATCACTCATGTAGTCAGCTAAAAAAAGTAAATCTGAAGGGAAGGAAACTATTATTTTTCACATGCAAACAAAATATCATTTTAAATATCACATCAAAGTCTATAAAAGAGTATTACCTCTATTTTATAAATGAGAACGCTAAGATTCAGAGAAATTAAATAATTTCATTTTTCAACTTAAGCCCCTATTACAATGTACTAAGCATTAAGTTTGAGTTAAGGACACAGAATCAAATTAATAAGACAGTTCCTGGACCTCCCTCGTGGCGCAAGGGGTTAAGCACCGCACTATGAAGCAATCTGAAGCCTCTACAGCACGAGTTCAATCCCCGGCCGGCCAGGAAGCAACCCACACAGGACAGCAGACCTCTCCTGTCTAGCCCGCTGCTTCCCTCAGCGGTGTATTTCACTCAGTCTGCCAGTTCTGTTCCCCACTCTGTCTCTGGTGAATTCTCTCACCCCCTGCATCTCTGGCCTGCACCCCAGCTCTTGTATGCATAAATAAATAAATCTTTAAAAAAAAAAAGAATGCAAATTTCTTAAAAAAAAAAAAAAAAAAGACAGTTCCTGCCCCAGGAGAATTTATAGCCCTGACCAAAATGACATTTGTAAATACCAGAACCATATTTGAACCTAGGTCAGTGTGACTTCAAAAGTCATACCTCAACCCTATCAAAAAATAACTGACCAAAGAGCAAAGTGCTCTCAGGAGCTCATCTAAATGTCTCTCAAAAAGTAAAACCAAAGAAAAGTCTTAGAGTGGCAGGCTTCAGCATGAACAAAGGTCATTTGAAATATGAATACATCTAGCAAATCTCAGAGTTAATGAAGGGTTAAAAACTTTTTCTTTGGGATCAGGAAGAAGTCAAAGCTGCTTACAAAAATTTTTCTATTAACCACTGCACTTAAGATTACTAGTTAGTAGGTAAGACAGGAGAAGGAAACAAATGGCAGAAGAAATGGAAAGAAACAAAATTAATTCATTGCAATATGACTAGCATACTATATAAAAATCCAAACTAATCTACAATAATTTTTTAGAATTATTAAGATAATTTACTGGGCCTCCCCGTTGGCGCAGCGGTTGAGCACTGGGTTCCGAAGCTGCCCGCAGCCTCTGCGGCACCGGTTCGATCCCTGGCTGCTCCCCAGCCACCGGAGGAGGGTCCCGCATGGCACGCAGACCTCTCCTGCCGCCCGCTGCTCCCCTCAGCAGTGTACTTCTGTCCTTCTGCCTGCTCTGCTCCCCGCTCTGGCTCTGGTGAACTCTCTCACCCTCCGCGCTTCTGACTGTACCCAGTGCTTGTATAAACAAACAATAAACAAATAAATAATAAAACTTAAAAAAAAAAGATAATTTACTAAACTTTAGATGCATAGGCTGCAAATAAATGCCACATATTCCTATATAACAGCAGTAAACAAGTCATATTTTAAAAAAATTACATATTTTCAATATATTTTCACATAAAAACATATTTCACATTATGTGAAAATACAATTCACAAGGATCCAAAACCATGTGACTTAGAATAAAACAAAATATGGGAAAGTTCTCTATAAAAAACATAGAATTTTATTGATAAATGTCTATCAACTTATGTATAAATATAGTATATTGATCAAGTAAAATGTGGTATATGCCCACGGTGGAATACTATTCAGTTTTAAAATGGGCAAATGCTATAACATGGGTGAACACTAAAAACATATAAGTGAATGAAGTAAAAAACAAAAGACCACCTACTGTATGATTTCATGTAAATTCACATGAAATCATGTGAATTTACATGAAATCATACATGTAAGAAAATCCACTGAGACAGAAAGAAGATTAGCTAGGGACTGGGGAAGTGACATTTAATGGGTCCGGGTGGGGGCCGGGGGAAATGAAAATCTTTTGAAATTAGTGATGGTGGTTGCATACCAGGAGTGTACCAAAAACCACTGAACAACACACTTTAAAGTCACTGATTACCATCTAATCCGGCAACTCTGATACTGAACACCAGCCTCAGTTTCCCTCAGCCAATGAAAGGAAACAGAGTTTGAGAAGGAAAGTAGTTTATCAACAAACTGAGGAGGGCAGCAGACTCGTGTCTGAAAGAACCCCCATTCTGCTCCTTGGCAGAGTGCTTATACAAAGGAGTAAAAAAAAAGAGGGGGCTGAGCAAGGGTCTGCAAAGGAGGGATAGGATCCTTTAATGCAGGCATATGGAGATTTCAGGTGGGCGCCAACTTGCTTTAACACCTGTTTAACTTCCTTATTATCTTCTTAGAGATGTTCTTCCATTTCCTTAAATTGCAAGAAGACAAACTTGTTAAATACAACAGATTGGAGTGCTTATCTGATGAGGCAGGAAGAGAGACCTGTCCTGTGTCACTGTGCCAACTCTACTTCTAGATTTATACCCAAAAGAACAGAAAGCAAAGATTCAAAAAACGATATTGTATCTCAGTGTTCATAGCAGTACTATTTATAATAGACAAAAGGTATAAACAACTTCAGTAAGTGAAAAGATAAAATGTTTGTTTAAATGGTGTGGATGATGAAGTTCTGCAGCGAGACCATGGGTAATGGTTGCACAACAATGTGAATGTGGTACAGGACAGGGAGGTCCTGGAGACCACCCTGTTGCAAATGTACTTAATAACACTGAGTTATATACTGAAAAATGATTAAAATGGTGAATTTTATGTTTTGCATATTTTACTACAGCAAAAAAGTCATTGAAATGGTGAATTTCAACTCAAAAATATTTTGATAATTAAGTAGCTCCTTTTTTTTTGAGATTTTTTTTAATATATATTTTTTATTTATTTATTTATACAAGCACTGGGTACAGTCAGAAGCGCAGGAGGGTGAGAGAATTCACCAGAGCCAGAGCGGGGAGCAGAGCAGGCAGAAGGACCGAAGTACACTGCTGAGGGGAGCAGCGGGCGGCAGGAGAGGTCTGCGCGCCATGTGGGACCCTCCTCCAGTGGCCGGGGAGCAGCCGGGAATCGAACCAGCGCTGCAGAGGCTGCGGGCAGCCTCACAACCCAGCGCTCAACCACTGCGCCACCAGGGAGGCCCGAAGTAGCTCCTTTTAAATGGAGAGAGGCATCAATTCCTAGAGTAAAGACTCACTATTTTAAAGACACATCTTTTGAATAAATTGAGTGAAGATTAAATGCAATCTCAATAGAAACACATAACAGACTTTTTTGGTGAAACTTGACAAGCTGATACTTAAACATACGTAGAAATGCAAGAGAAGGATCGCCAAGGCACTCTTAGAAAAGAACAGGTGGGAGGTTGACTGTAAAGTTAGAACAAGTAAGACAGTGAGGTACTGCTCCAGGAATGATCAGCAGATAAATGAAAGAGAACAGAACAGAGCATCCCAAGACTCTCTTGCAGGGACATCTCAAGGCACTGGAGAGATGATGGCCTTTGTACTAACTGGCACTGGGACAAATGGATATTAATTGGGGGGAAAATGAAACTGGATCTCAACCTCATTCCATCTACAAAAATCAACTTAAAGTGGGCTATAGAACTAAATGTGAAAAGCCAAATGATAAAGTTCATAGAAAATAATATGGGACAATGTCTTCATAGTCAAAAGATTTTTAGACACAACACAAAAGCATCAACTAGAAAAAAAAATTGGATAAAATTGGGAGTATTTGTCCATCAAAAGACACCATTAAGAGAGTGAAGAGATGAACCACAGAATGGGAAAAGATATATGCAACACATTTAACAATCAAGGACTAATGTCTAAACCATATAAAGAACTCCTGCTAATCAATAAGATAAACACAAATCATCAAATAGACAAATGGGCAAATAAATATCTAAAATAGGTACTTCATGTGAAGAAATCTGGTCAAAAACAAATGAAAAAGTGTTTGACTTCGTTTGAAACCAAGGAAATGCAAATTAAAAGCACAACAAAAATGACTCTACCAAGTGTTGACCAAAATGTGGAGCGACTCTTAAACATCGTTGACAGGATGTGTCATTCCCCAAGTGGCATTATTTACAGTTGGTCCAGACTAGAAACAAACATACTTGAACAACCTAAAATAATAAATTGTGGTATAGCCATTCAATGAAATACTACATAGCAGTAAGACCAAACAACCACAGCTGCATGCTATGACATTGGGATTAATACAACCAAAATTTGCTGAAAGCATCA